GATCCCTGTGAGTTAGAGGCCAGCCTGGACTATACAGTGAGTTCAAAGCCATGAGCTACATAGTGAGAGCTTGTCTCAAAAAAAAAAAATAAATAAATAAACCAAACAAAAACCAAATAGAAGAATAACAAATGTACTACATACAAATTCATGTGGGATATAAATAAGCAGTACTTTTAGGGAAATTTACACCATATATTAGGAAAGAAGGTTTAAAATATATAAGTCAGTTAGAGGATTCTGGGAGCCAGGAGGCACAGTGGTGTTTGTATGACCTTTGGAAGCTGCCGCTTGGGACCAGCCAAACATAAAAAAACGCCAGCAGCCAGGCCAACTTTTGAACCTGACACAGTGTGTGATGAGTTCCAAGAGACAGAGTCCAGGTTCTTCGCCGAGCAAAGAACTGCAAGTACTGTCTACACCCATGGCAAAAGGAAAAGCAGCGATACTTACTGAAGTCAGCAGGAAAGGTGTGCTCCGGGAGGGCAGCTCTGTGCCAGCAGAAACAAAAAGGGGAAAGAAGTGACGCAGGGATGGTGGGGAGAATAAGGGAAAAAATAAATCAGGCTTTTGGATTTAAAAGACGGGCCCCACCTAAGGCATCTCACATTGAATCTCTTGGGTATGATTGACAGGAATGATTGACAGGGTGCTGAGTCATCTCAAGACTATCTAGTGTGCATGACTTTCCCATAATTCACTGTTCTAGTCACATGCATGACATGCAGTGTGCGGGCGGGGGGGATGGTTACACTAAGTCAAGCTACTGCACAGCTAACATGCATGTGCTCCGGTCCGGAGCTTTAGAGATTTCCTGGGTCTCTGTTATCCTTATTTCTGTTTCCCTTAGGAGGAGGGAAGGAGGATTAGCCCAGAGGCACTGCCCCAAGTCAGGTGGGTGGAAGCAAAGTGGCGCTGCAGCCCCAGTTGTGCAACCTGCACTAAACCTGCAAGCCGTGGAAAAAGGGAGGCTATTTGAGTCAATTGTCAAAGCAATATTCAAGGCTAGGCAGGAGATTGCTGCAAATTCAAGGCTAGCCTGGGCTACACAGCGAGTTCAAGATCAGCAACTACATAGGGAGACCCTGTCTCAAGAACAAAAGCAGCAGTATTCAAGAGCTTCCCTCTCATACAAAGATGAAATACAAACTAGTCAGGATGCCCCAAAGAGGCTCATGACTATGACTCCAGGAGAGAGTTAGAAGAGAGAGCTGCTGCAAGAGAAAAGAGTGGGGCTGGTCCACCCTGACAACACAGGCCCTCCTCTTCAGTGGCAGAGAAGCTGCAGCCAGACCAGATTCCCACTGCCAACCATGATGCAGGTGATTCTCTAACCGATGAGGAAGATGAAGATTTTGAAGAAGAGACTGATGACGATAATACTTGGAGCTCTTCTTGCAGAATTGGAAAAGATTTAACAAGAAACAGCTGAAGAATAATCCCAGCATGCAGGAGGCTGAGGCAGGAGGTTCGCCACAAGTTTGAGGTCAGCCTGAGCTGCACAGTGGGCTTGAGGCCGGCCTGAACCTCGTAGCGAGATCCTGTCTCAAAAAACAAAACATGCACACATGAATGCAAGCAAGAAAGAGCTGAAAGCAAGACAGGAAGGAACAAGAAGAAAAAGCTGAAGAAGAAAATTCACATGGAAAACATTCTGAGGAGCAACATTCTCCTTAACCTCACCAACCCCTGCCAGCCTCCGGCCAGCTTCAAAGATAAAAGACCTTGATGCTGCTGCTGCTTTCAAGAACTGTGCAAAAGGTGTAAATGATCAGGAAAAAGTCAAGATTTGTAAATGATACACAGTCATTTGAAATTCACAAAAAAGTCATGGAGAAATATATTAAATAGTACAGCTTCATGTGCTTAAAGACCATAAAATGTTAAAATAAGTGTAAGCTAGAGAAACAATTTAGAAATCGAGGAGAAACAACAAATCAAACCCAGATAATATGGACTGAAAGACATAACAAAAATTTCGAGCCAGGTGCTGGTGCCATGCTTTTGAATCTCCAGAACTGTGAGCTAAGTAAACCTCTAGGAATGCATTATATAATTTATAACAGGAAGCTGAGGCAGGAGGGTCATGAGTTTGAAGCCAGACTGGACTACAACCTTTCCACCCCCATTAAATAAATAAAAGAAAAAAAAAAAGAAAAGAACTTTTGTTGGTCAAACTCTATACAGAGAGGAAGAAGAAAACTATATACTGGAGAAAATATTTACAACCATGTAACAAATTTTAAAATGTGTGGAGAGTGATATGGTTTAGATATGGCTTAAGCTCCTAAAGCTTCTTGTGCTAGAAACTTGGGCATTGGTGCAGCAATGTTGCATGGTAGATGAACCTGTGAGTGGTGGCGCCTCGTGGAAAGTGCACCCCTTCAAGGGATTATATAGTTATATAAAGACCCAACTTGCTTCATCTTGGAGTGGGGTGTTATATACAGAGGTTCTGGCCCTTGAATGCCTCTAGCTTCCTGGCTTCCATGTGCTCTCTCTCGCATTGAGTTGATTTTCTGCTACTCGAGTAGAGAATAAACCATACAATTTGCTATATTGTAGTATATTTGTACAATAAAATACAAAACACACCAGTGAAAATGAATAAATTATAGCTATGCACTTCAACATGGATGAACCAAAAATAATGTTGAGGGTGAAAAATCAAGTCATAGAATTATACAGACATTCTTTGACCGTGGTTAGACTTTCAATATTTTCATTTCATGTTTTCCTTTTATGTTGGTATAAAAGCTATACATTCAGTAAAAGCCATACCTAAATTCGGAAATTTGGTCTTTTTCTGGGCTACCAATATATAGTACAACCTCTCTCCTAGTGCTGGGCAATGACAGTGAGCTGCAGCTCCTACATGAGCCACAGGGTTGTGAGAGGGTGTAACACGTTGTTAAGCTGTGATGGCAGGTAAGGTAGGTGTATTAATTGCATGGATGCATGTATGTATATGTGTATACACATACATTTGGCACTGGAGGTTGAACCCAGGGCCTTCACGATAAGTGAACTTCTTTTTCAGTTTTTTTGAGACAGGCTCTCGCTAAATTGCCCAGGCTGGGTTTAAACTTGCAATCCTCCTGCTTCAGCCTCCCAGAGTGCTGGGATTACAGTGCATGTCATCCCACCCTAGTTAGTTCATTTTTAAATTACAATATTTTCAATATAAGATGGATATCTCAAAATGTAACCCCATAGTAGAAAAGAAAAAAAAAAAAAAAGAATGTAACACCATAGTCAAGGAACTTCTGTATGGAGAATGAGTCAAGCGTAGGTAGAACTATGAAATCTATTGTCTAGGGAGATTGTGTGTGTGTGTGTGTGTGTGTGTGTGTGTCTGTCTGTCTGTCTGTCAATCTACTGTAACAGATATCTTCAAGCTGGTGGTATAAAACACAGAAATTTATTCTCTCACAGTTCTGGAAGTCAGAAGTCTGAAATCTGTCACCAAGTCAAAATCATAATATGTATAAATAGGCTGTTGTCCCTCTGGAAGCTCTCACCTAGAATTTAGTCTCTGCTTCTTTCAGCTTCTGGTGGCTGTCACATTCCTTGGCTTGCAGCCACAACATTCCAGTTTTCAAAGCCAGTATCTTCAAATCTTTGTTGCATCTTCACATTGCTTTCTACCCTGTGTGTGTCTGTATGGAATCTTCCACTTCTTCAAGGACACTTGATTATATTAGGGCTCACTCAAATAATCTCAGAGTGATCTCTCCATCTCAAAATCTTTAACTTAATCACAACTGAGAAGACTCCTTTCTGTGTAAAGTAACATTTACAGCTTCTGAAGGATTAGACCCCGCAGTTCTTCAGTTGGGCAGGTGGTGATGCTGAGAGCATCAATCTGCCACTACAATGGTAAAACTGGAGGAAGTAAGTCCAGGGTAATAATTATCTCTGGGCATTGGGAAGGGGACACAATTCAGATGCAGAATGCAAGAACCTTTAAAGATGTTCTGTTTCTTCATCTAGAGACTGGATGTAGAAGTTCATTTTGCTCTTATTTTGCTTCTGTCTCATCTTGGGCTCTCTCGTGCTCCAGCTTAGATGCTCAGATTGTGGTGCTTTCTGTATTTACTCTTACGCTAAACTTCCAACTCCCCTCCTGGGTTGATGTTGACTACATTACTTGTTATAAGTAGTTTATTATCTCACTGACTCTTCATCATAATACAATATGGATATGTACTATTAGTAATCCTATTCCAAACATGAGGAAACTGAGACTTTTGAAGGTTGGGTATTAAGGTCAAGGGTATTAAGTGGTGGAACCTGGAATCAAACCAAGGTATGGTAGTTTGACTCTATTACAGTAGAGTGTGTAAATTCTGCCTGCAATTTAAAATTTTTTAAAAATTAAGGTAAATGCACATATAAACATATTCTTGCATTTTGGTATACAGTTATGTCAGGTTTTTTTTGTTTTTTTTCTGGTACTGGGAATCAAACTCACAGCCTCATGCTTGCCAGGCAGGTGCTGTGCCGCTGAGCTAGATCCCCAGCCCCAGTTATGTCAGTTTTGACATGGGCATACAGATGTGTCACTCCCTCCCAAATTAATATTTACAGAACAGTTCTACCTCTCTGAAACATTCTCCTATGCCCTTTCATAGTCAACTTTTCTACCACTATATAGTTGTCCCCCTGACATTTTTTTCTTTTCTTTTTTTTTTTGTCCTTTTTGAGATACGGTTTCTCTATGCAGTTCAGGCTGGCCTTGAGCTCACTTTGTAGCCCAGGCTGGTGTCGAACTTGCAACGATCCTCCTGCCTCAGCCTCCTGAGTGCTGGGATTACAGGCATGTACCACCATACCCGGCTCAAAGCTTCTTTTCTTTTCTTTTTTTTGGTACCGGGAATCGAACTCACGACTTTGCGCTTGCTGGGCAGGTGCCGTGCTGCTGAGCTAAATCCCCAGCCCTCAAAGCTTATTTTCAAACTGAGAATTTATTAATATGTTGCTCCTTCTTATTCTAATAGGATATTAGTGCGCAACTGAATAACATACTGAACAATGTGCATCGAATAATAACTCGCTATACTGCTCTTGATCTTAACTCCTCTCCTGGAAGAAGGAGCTCCTATACAGAATCCAAGAAAACACAAAGAAATCTTGTTTTGGAGAACATGTCTTCTTTTGCTAAGGCTGTTGATCTTAAAGAAAAGGCTCTGGTCTACATTCTGTCCTGGTTGGAAGAATGGAGTAAGTTTTCATAAGTGGTTCCGGGGAGAACTACAAAGTTAATAAAAAATGATAGAGAAGAGAATCTGTAAGTAAATTTTGAAAGATTAATCAGCCTAAAGAAGCAAAGACTAAGGTTATTCAGAGAATAGTTGTCCTCTGTTCAAGTCAGAACCAAACACGAAAAATACAGGGTTATTCACTCAGTGCCAGTCTGATGTCTTTTTCTTCAAGCTCGCCTGCATGTTTGTGGCCAGTGCCCCTAGGTTTGGTATTTTCTTGCATAGAGCAATTCCCACCATGGCCTATTCCCTGCTTAACTCCCACGTGAGAATGAGGTATTCTCTGATATCTTCCATTCCTGACCACCAGCCATTCTCTACTCCTTTTTACCCTTCTTAAATTTTGTCTATATGATTAGTATCTAGCATACTACTTTTTTTTTTTTTTTTGTCTTTTTGAGACAGAGCCTCACTATGCAGCTCAGACTGGCCTTGAGCTCACTCTGTAGCCCAGGCTGGTATCAACTCAAAAAGATCCTCCTGCCTCAACCTCCCAAGTGCTGGGATTACAGGCGTGCACCACCACGCCTGGCTTATTTTAGATACCTGTTTTTCTCTGAGTTAGGAAAATAGACCAAAGAGATAGATTTTTTTTAACCTGATTCACATTTCCGTGTACTGGTTAGCCCTCCAGTGCAAGTCTGTTCCTTTATAACTTCTTCACAAAGGCTCAGTATATCAGAATGACAATTAATGCAAGATAATTGTATTGTGCAGTAGTATAGTAAATAATTGCCTAATGTTATACGCCTATATTGTAATGTACTTTTCGGCACATAAAGATTTCTTTTACTCTCTTCCAGATGCCATTTTGTCTGAGATAACGCTAATTGACATGGAAGAACACCACCACTGGATCGCACAAATGGAGATGTTACCAGAGACGTTAAAAGCTATCAACAAGAATGTCATGCTAATGTGTAAAATTTGTAGAGCTTTCCTTGAAGATAAGAAGAAACAAAAGAAAAAAATGTGTAAGGGTGCTCTATACCACTGAAAATAGCGTTTGACTTTTGCTAAAACCATAGCTTTCTTGAGGTATAATTTGCATGCCTTCACATTGAGTGCAAAAATATTTTTAATAAATTTACAGAGATGTGCAATACTCACCACAGTCCAGCTTTACAGCATTTCCACTTTCCCAGCAAGATCTGTTGTGTTCATTTCTAATCCGTCTTCATTCTCACTCACAGCCCCAGACAACCACTGACCTATTTTGTCTTCAGGTGTTCGCTTTTCTAAGATATTTCATACAAATAGAATCATATTATACATTGACTTTTAATGTCTGCCTTTTATTTATTTACTTATTGGTCTTTTTGAGACAGGGTCTTGCTATGCAGGTGAGGCTGGCCTTGAGCTCACTTTGTAGCCCAGGCTGGTCTCGAACTCACAACGATCCTCCTGCCTCAGCCTCCTGAGTACTGGGATTATAGGCATGTGCCACCATGCCCGGCCCCAGGCTGGTTTTGAACTTGCAAGGATCCTCCTGCCACAGCCTCCTATTTGCTGGGAGTGTGCACAGGTGTGTGCCACCATTCCCAGCCTTTTTTTTTTTCTCTTTTTGAGGCAGAGTCTCACTTTGTAGCCCAGGCTGGCCTTGAACTCGCAACAGTCCTCCTGCCTCAGCCTCCTGAGCGCTGGGATTACAGGCATGGGCCACCATGCCTGACCTTGTTGTGTCTTTTGAGACAGGGTCTCACTCTGTAGTTCAGGCTAGCTTTGAATTTACTATGTAGCCCAGCTCAAACTCATGGTGATCTTCCCGCCTAAGCCTCCTAACTGCTGGGATTACAGATGTACACCACCACACCCAGCTAATAAGGCCGTTAAAAGCACATGTTTTCATTTATTTTGTAAGCCTGGGCTACAAAGTGAGCTCACAAATTCTACTCACACCTGAGGAGTAGAATTGCTGACTCACGTGGTAAATTTAACTGTTTTCCAAAGTGACTGCACTCTAATACATTCCCACGGGTAATGTGTGAGGGTTCCAGTCTCCCCACACCCTAACACTTGCGGTTTTCTGTGTCTTTTTAAAATTATACCCATTCTAGTAGTGGGTGTGGAGTGGCATCATCTGGGATTTTAGTTTCCATTTCCCTAATAATGCATGATGCTGGGCCGGGCGTGGTGGCGCACGCCTGTAATCCCAGCACCTGAGAGGGTCCCAGCAGGAGGATCTTTGTGAGTTTGAGGCCAAATAGATAGATCTAACCAAATAGATAGATCTATCAGATAGATCTGAACAAAGTGAGTTCGAGGCCAGCCTGGGCTACAAAGTGAACTCAAGGCCAGCCTGAACTGCACAGTGAGACCCTGTCTCAAAAAGACAAAAAATAAAATAAAAAATAAAAATTACAGAGAGCATCTTTACCCTTAACATAGCAAAAAAAAAAAAAAAAAAAAAAAAAGGGCCATCTATGGAAGCAGGGTCTGACCTGATGCTGAATATGCCAGTACCTCAATTCTCTTTTGCTTTTTTAGACAGTCTCACTGTGTAGTTCAGGCTGTCCTTAAAATCATGATATAGCCTAGGCTAGCCTCCTTGTAGAGGTGATCCTCTTGCCTCAGCCTCCTGAGGGCCGGGATTACAGGCATGTGCTACCACATCCAGTTCCACACCTTCATCTTGGACTGCCCAGCCTCCAGAAGTATGAGAAATAAATTTCAATTGTTTATAAGACACCTAGGGGCTGGGGATTTAGCTCAGTGGCACAGCGCCTGCCTGGCAAGCGCGAGGTCCTGAGTTCGATTCCCGGTACCAGAAAAAAACAAAAATAAACAAACCAAAAAGACATGTAGTCTATGATACTGTGTTATAGCATCCTGAATAGACTAAAATATATCTTTGAATACTGTTTCAGCTTTTACAGTGCTGATATTACAGGCATGCAGTGCTCTATCTGGCGTTTTTTTTTTTTTTTTTCTTCCTTTCTGAGACAAGGTCTCACCATGCAGTTCAAGCTGGTTTTGAACTCACTTTGTAGCCCAGGTTGGCCTCAAACTCACAAGATCCTCCTGCCTCAGCCTCCCACGTGCTGAGATTGCCGGGATTACAGGCGTGCACCACGCCACCTGGCTGGCTCTTTGTTTTCTGTTTGTTTTGTTTCCTCATGATACTGGGGATTGAACATAGGGCCTTCCCACTGAACTACGTCTAGGGTTTCTTTCTTTTATTTCTTCTTTTCCTTCCTTCCTTCCTTCCTTCCTTCCTTCCTTCCTTCCTTCCTTCCTTTCTCCTTCCTTTTCCCTCTCCCTCCCTTCTCTCTCTCTCTCCCTCTCCTCTCTCTCTCTCTGGATCTCACTAAATCCCTATATCGCCCACACTGAACTCAAACTTGTGATGCTCCTGCCTCTGTCTGGAACCACTCCTGGCTGGTGCCATTTCCTTTGCCCTGAAGGACTTCTCTGACCTTTCTTGCAAGGCAAACCTGTTAGCAAAATGTATTCTCTGTCTTTAATCAGGGATGTCTTTCTTTCACCTTCACTTTTAAACAGACTAATTTTTAGAGCAGTTTTAGATTGAGAAAAGAGAGTTCCCGTAAGTCTCCCCATGTCCTCTTCTTATTCAGATCTTGCTTTAGCATATATACCTGTTATCAGGATTCTTTTTTTTTGAAGGCTAGGAATTGAACCCATAGCTCTATGCATGCTAGGGAAGCACTCTACCACTGAGCTGCACCCTCATTCCTTTTCTCTTTTTTTTTTTCGTTTTCTTTGTTGTCTTTTTGAAACAGAGTCTTGCCATGCAGTTCAGGCTGGCCTTGAACTCACTTTGTAGCCCAGGCTGGTCTCGAACTCCCAACAATCCTCCTGCCTCAGCCTTCCCCAGTGCTGGGATTACAGGCGTGTGCCACTTTCCTTTTTCATTTTGAAACAGAATCTTAGTGCTGGGATTAGGGGCATGCACCATTGACTCCAGCAGTAAATGCAGTACTTATATTTAGCTATTAGTTGGTTACATACCAAAGGATTAATAGATATCTTTATATTCAGGCAGAGTGGCCCATGGCAGAGGGCAGCATTCATGACAGCAGTGAAAAACAGTAAAAGCAGCAAGAGCAAAAACAAAGGAGCAGGAACAGCCTCTTTCCCTCCCTTATACTGTATCTTGCCCCAGGGTGGGTGTAGTGCTCACACCCGCGATCCCAGCGTTGGGCCATGGATCAATTGTGAACTCTAGCCGGGTGTGGTGGCGCATGCCTGTAATCCCAGCACTCGGGAGGCTGAGGCAGGAGGATCACTGCGAGTTGGGAGACCAGCCTGGGCTACAAAGTGAGCTCCAGGCCAGCCTGGACTGCATAGCTATAACCTGTCTCAAAAAGACCAAAAAAAAAAAAAAAAAAAAGTCGCAAACTCTAGAAGCCGCCCCAGGACTGCAAGAGGCTTTGGGGGACGTCTAGACACAAAGCATGACAGACTACAGTCCAATGCTTCTGTATTTTCTTGTTTGTGTTGTTCCAGTTTGGCCACTGAGTGCTCTTTCAGACCCTGTGCCCCTCTGGCAAACCCCTACCCACTGTGGATTTGTTTTGTTTATTTCCTCGCTTTAGCGCTATCTTTCCCCCCCACGAGATGAATGCTCTAGTTTTATCTTGTATGCTTCCTGTCCCAGTTCCAGAACCCACTATTTCTTTAAGGAGTTCTGGTTCCTTCTACTGGAAAACTCAAGGTCTAGGTGCTTGGTGTGCTCACTGTTGCTGGGGCTTCATTTCTTTTAGTGCTTCTCAGCTGACAAAAAGAAATGTGAGTACCATAACCCCTGACTATACAGATATCTATTAATACCTTTGTGTGTAACCAGCTGCAACTAGCAGCTAAATATGAGTACTGTATTTACTGCCGGGGTCAATGGCGCATGCCTCTAATCCCAGCACTAAGGAAGGCTGAGGTAGGAGGATTGCAAGGTCAAGTCTTCCCTGGCAGTTTAGCAAGGCTGGGTCTCAAAATAAAAAAATAAAAGATGCTGAGGGTGTAGCCCAGCTGCGTTTAATCCCCCATACCGCCAAAACAAGCAAGCAAGCAAGCTTTTTTTTTTTCTTTTTGAGACAGTGTCTCACTATGCAGTTCAGGCTGCCTTGAGCTCACTTTGTAGCCCAGGCTGGTCTCAAAATTGGAACAATCCTCCTGCCTCAGCCTCCCGAGTGCTGGGATTACAGAGGTGCGCCACCACGCCCTGCTAAGCATTTTTATTATTGTCTCTAACTCTAACCCATCACCCATATGGATCATCCTACCATATTTTCCTTCCTTTGTTTATCTGTAAAGTCCCAAATAGTGAGTGTTTTGGTTTGGATCTTTGTTTTTGGTACCAGGAATTGAACTCAGGACCTTGCACTTGCCAGGCAGGCACTTGTGCTGCCGAACTATATCCCCGACCTTTGGTCTGGATCTTTAATGTCTCTAAAACTCCTGTGTTGAAGGCTGGGGCCTCTGCAGATGGCACTGCTGGGAGGGGTGGAAACCTTAGGAGGTGAGGCAAAAGTCAGAGTAACTGTGTCGCTGGGGGTGTGCCCCTGACAGGGTATCAGAATTTTGGCTCCCTCTAGTCTCTCTCTGCCAACTGGCCTCTCTGAGGTTGGCAGATTTGTTTGTTCATTTTAAAATCTTTTTTCCTGATAAGCCCAGCACCTGGGCCCCTCGGAAGCAATTGACTGCTTTACCCTCCCACTCATACAAGTCACATTTTTTTGCATCTTTTCATGTTCTTTTGCTGACAACTAGATGCTTTAGGTCCTAGATTCCACGCATAGGTTCTGATTCCGTTGGCCCCTCGGAAGCAATTGACTGCTTTACCCTCCCACTCATACAAGTCACATTTTTTTGCATCTTTTCATGTTCTTTTGCTGACAACTAGATGCTTTAGGTCCTAGATTCCACGCATAGGTTCTGATTCCGTTAGTCCTCCGGAGTTTGTTTTTGTTGCCTTTGTTTTTTTTAGCACCTGAACTAATTCTGTGGAGTCTGTGTCTCCCACTGTGAAAGCACTAATCTCTCTGAGCAGTCTTTTTTTTCTTTCTTTCCAGGGTCATTTTATTGTGTCTTTTTGACACAGGGTCTCTCTGTGTAGTACAAACTGGCCTTGAGCTCACTCTGTAGCCCAGGCTGGTCTAAAAATTGCAATCATCCTCCTGCCTCAGCCTCCCGAGTGCTGGGATTATAGGCGTGCGCTACCATGCCCAGCTCCAGGGTCATTTTTGGATGATTATAATTTAGTAATCATTCAATGTTTAGCCAATCCAGTAAGGCTTCCATTCTGCAAGTCAATCTGTGTGTGGGTTAAGGATTTTTTTTTCCTGTACTAAGGATTAAACCCAGGGGCACTCTACCATTGACTTACATCCCCAGCTCTATTTTTTATTTTGAGACAAGATCTCTCTATATTGCCCAGGATGACCTCAAACTTGCCATCCTTGGGCCTTCGTCTCTATTATAGGTATACGCCGCGCCCTTGCCAACTTACCTCCAGACCAGGGTATCCCTTCAGGGAGCAGCACTGCTAATGTTCACCTCTGGTCTCACCGCGGTACAGCGTCAGTCCGTGGACTTTAAGAGTTGGACAAGGGCGTTGGGGACAGAAACAGCTCCATATTTCCAGACTTCCAGTGTTTTTTCCTGAAGCTTAGCAATTTTTCTTGAATAATGTTTCTCAATTTGCTGTATGCCTTCAATCAATTTCCAAAGTCCTAAAGTGGTTGTTTTGAATTTTGCCTAATTTTATGATTGCTTCTTTTTTTTTTGGTTTTTGTTTTTTTTCCGGTACTGGGAATTGAACTCACGACTTTACGCTTGCCAGGCAGGCGCTTTGCTGCTGAGCTAAATCCCCAGCCCCTTATGATTGCTTCTAGGGATACATTTTTTACTGAGTTTCTCACTCAGCCATTCTGGAAATCCCTTCAGGTTTTTTTGCTTGTTGATTTATGGCCCTTTTGAAAGAACCAAAATTAACTTTGATTCCAAAAAGAGAAACAAATCCAAGAGAGAGGCTAGGTATGGTGGCACATGCCTGTAATCCCAGCACTCGGGAGGCTGAGGCAGGAGGATCGTTGTTAGTTTGAGGCTAGCCTGGGCTACAAAGTGAGCTCAAGGCCAGCTTGAACTGCAGAGCAAGATCCTGTCTCAAAAAGAAAAAAAAAAAAAAAAAAAAGAAATCTAAGAGAGAAAATAGAAAGCACTAAGTATAGTCAAAGCCAGAGGAAAGTTTTGGCTTACATTTTACGTAATCCTAAATTTGTAACTGAAAGTAAGCTGAGGTAACAACTGAGTTAGTTTCCTAAACCCTTGAAGTAGATGTGGGAAAAGAATCATTCTTGCCAGGGATATAGCTCAGTGGCACAGCGCCTGCCTGGCAAGTGTGAGGTTGTGAGTTCAATTCCTGGTATCAAAAAAAAAAAAGAATCTTTCTTCTTTGTTAGTCTATATTCCATTTCTGTCCAGGGTGACAGGTCCCAAGACTGAGGTGCCGAGGATGAAAAGGAAAGCAAGAAAAGCAAAAAGGTGTAATTCTGGGATGAGGGGGCTTGCAGCCCCTCGGACTAAAGCCCCGATTACCATCTTCAGTAACCTTTTATTGAGAAAGAACAAAGGAGGCAGCAGGGCAAATGGGAGGATATCAACAGGTTTAGCAAGGACAAGACAACTCAATTATCACAGGAATGAAACTTGACTTAGTTAGCCATCATGTTATTATTTCCTTTACATCAATGCTTTTGTTAGACTTCTCTGGAATCAAACAGTTGTATGGCTTGGTCAGGCCTGAGGCAATACACTGAAAGATAAACTAAAGAATGTCCTTCTCCACACTTCTTGGGTGTGGTGGTGCACACCTGTAAGCACCCAGGAGGCTGAGGCAGGAGGATCACCATGAGTTCGAGGCCAGCCTGGACTACATAGTGAACTCAAAACCATCCTAAACTACAGAGTGAGTGAGACTACAGACCTTGTCTCAAAAAAAAAAGTCATTTTTTCCTAAAATAATAATGCTTATTTTGGGGCTAAAATTCTCTGGTGAATCTTTATCCTACAGTTCTCCATTAATTTAGGCCAAATTCTTTAGGCTTAAAGATGCATAGACCACAACATGAAAGAAGAAATGCAGTTTCATTGTTTTATGTTTTTTCTTCCAGTATCTAGAGGTACTCTATGGAAAACTTGGAAAGAAAGAGCTTTGAAGCGACCTGCAACGGCCCATGCTTTAAGACCAGATCAGATAATTAGCGATCAACTTGCAACAAATACAAAGGTGTCAGAAATTCAAGGTATGCTACAGGAACTGATAGGCACAGCAATGTTCAACAAAATGGAAAGCAATGCTATTAAATATATATCATCAACAATAATAAACTTTTCTAAAGCCTTGAATATGCTAAATGATGAATTAAAACTTATGAACTTCCAAAATGTCACTGTATATGTAGATGAAGCAAAAGAAGAAGAAAAAGATCTCCCCATGAAGATAATCCAGGATCTCAGTGAACAAAATGAAATGCTTACTCAGAAACTTAAAGATGCAGAAGACAAATGTGAACAACTTATTCGATCCAAAGTTGTTTCAGGACACCGAGCATACATATCATCACCCACATTCCCAACCTTGAAAGTACCACCCGGGCTTTCTCCGCAGTCATCCATGGCCATGGAGGACACTATGGACAGTATTTTAACCAAAGAATTTGAGAATATTCTAGATGAATCCCAAAGAAAAGGGGCCAAAGGCACTGGGGTAAAGTGGGATTCAGCTATTTCATACACACCTCAAGTTGAAATGACTCCAGACTTAACTGACCAGCAATATATTTTATCTGAGAAAAAGCGGAAAATTTTGTCTCAAGATACTTCTGGAGATAACATATCGCTGAAGAAAGACGACAGTGATCAGAAAGATGGCACAGGCGGGTATTCACCACAAAACAAAAAGCTCACCAAAGAGCCCCAACCACAGGGGGCCTCTGAATCAAGTTTGAGCACTGGCAAAGAGGAACAAAAAGCCTTAGTGGCCAAACCCGGTCAATACGCTGAGCAACCAGCCCTGGAAAAAAGGAAAAAACGGAGAAAATCATCTTCTGAAGCTAAATCAAAGTCATCTACTGAATCCAAAGGCCAACACATCTCTTCTATGGCAACCAAGAGCCAAGACCAGAAAAGTGGAAAAGGTACATGGGAGCAACTCCAAAAGCTCCAACCTGAACATCCGCCTAAAAAAGGCCCAACCCCATCGGAGGCTAAGTTAGAACCCACCTCTAAGTCAACGGACAAAGACACCAGAAGTGAACTGACAGGGCCATTCAGGATGTTCAAGGCTGATTTCGCCTCTGAGCCACAGAGAGTTGAAATGAAAGGAAAGAAACAGCAAGTCATTTCGGGAACTACCACAAGCAAAGAGGACAAAACGGAAGAGAAAGAGATACATGGCCTCGTCAGACAGGTCCAGTCTCTGCAGCTGGCTGACGCACAGTCAAAGGTCACTAAAGAGACTCTAGCAAGCCCAGACGGCAAAAGTGAACAGAACAACCTAGAGTTATTTCAAAAAGCGATCATGGCTTTCCTAAAAGAAAAAATTGATAACACAGGAAAGCCTTCTGACAAAAAGAGAGCGCTGAAGGAGGAAGAGTCACTTATGAAAGCAGAAGTTGAAAAGCTGGGAGTCATACAGGCAAAAATGGAGGAATATTTCCAAAAAGTGGCTGAAACTGTGACTAAAATCTTGAGAAAATACAAAGATATAAAAATGGAAGGACAAGCTGGAGAGAAACGTGTAAAACAAAAGCAGGCAGTCATGTTTACGCCAGGATTGCACGTGCAGGAGTCATCAGAGAGTGCGAAGTCTGAAATCAGCTCCTTCCTCTCACACGAGAGCACAGACCCAGTAATTACCACTTTATTACAGATGATCCTGGCGGAGATGGAACGTGAAAGAGATGTCCCAAAAGTTTTGATAACAGGAAAGGTCCACAAGGGGAAAGGAAAAGGGCAGCAGGAGAAATATTTGCAAGAAGATCAGGATCAGATGTCTGGTGTGGACCTCAAACCCCACCAACTGGAAGTAAAAGGTCTCTGGAAGGAGAGCTTGAAGATAAGAGAGCCTTCGCAGGGGAAAAAGGAACTGCTGCAGAAGAAGGCAAAGCAAGAGCAGCGGGAGGAGAAACAGGGGCAAGAAGAAGACAGGGGGACGGAACAGCAAAAACAGAGGATTCAAGAGCAAGATGAACAACAAAAGCACTGGGAAAGTGAGACGGAAAAGCAGCAGAAGCTGAAGAAGCAGCAGCTCCAAGCGCGGAAGCAAAAGGTGAAAGGACAAGATGCGCCCTTGGAGGAGAACGACAGGGAGATGATCCAGCAGATCCAGAAGGGCATCTGGCTTAAGAACCTGGACATGAGCAGGGGGAAAGATGAGGCGAGGAAGCGGCTGAGCAGGGAGATGGAGGATCTCAAAAGACAGACGCCGAACACAGCGAAGTATCCGAGGGCGAAAAGACCTGAAGAGCTAGCAGACATGCTCACCCAAAGTTCAGTGAAGTTATCCCCAAGGGAGAAGAGCACATTGAAAAATAAGACCCAGTTATACCAAGCAGAAAAGATGCAAAGGAATCTTAGGACCTTAGAGAGTTCTCTAGATGTAAAGCACCCCAAAACAGTCTCTCCTCCCACCCCCACCCAGTCCTTCCTGACTGGGACCAGTCTTGAGTCTGAGCGTCCTCTCACAAAATACTTTCCTCTCAGTCCTGGGCAGGCCCTGGCAGTGGGCGTCACTCCCATCCCTCAGGAGGTTCAGAAAATGGAGCTCACCACTTCCCCTGTGATATCTCAGACTTCGGGGGTCACACTCAGTTCTGAGAGGGCGCAGGCTCCGAGGGCTGCGCTTACTCCTGAACACACTTCAAGAATGCAGACCCCTTTCATAACAGAGCAGGCGCAGGAAGGAGGCACTGTAAGAACTCAGGAACAGGCTCTCGCTTCCAGGGTTCCTCTTACGCCTGAACAAGCACAGACGCTAAAGGAATCGCTCATATCAGAAAAAACTCAGGCAATACAGATCTCATCAAAAACTAAAGAGTCACAGATATTTAGGGTCCCTATTGCCCAAGGAAAGACTGAGGCCCTGAGGGTTCCTCACACTCCTCAGGAGGGTCAGGGCCTGCTGATGACTCTGACCCCTCAGCAGGCCCAGGACCTGGGGATCACTCTGACCCCTCAGCAGATGCAAGCTCAAGGGGTCACTCTGACCCCTCAGCAG